TGATTCAGATGTATTGTACTTGTGACTAAGAGGTAGTACAAACTTGAATAACTCCTGGTAAAGTTCTGAACAAAACAAAATATGATCTTTTCTTGAGTCATGAAGCTGCCTTACTGGAAATTTCAGTATATATTAAAACTGTTAAAAGTATTTTGCAGGCCAGGCATGGTAGCTCACACCTATAATCCCAGCACTTTGGGAATCTGAGGCCAGTAGACTGCCTGAGCTCAGGGGTTCAAGACCAGCCCAGGCAACTTGGTGAGACCTCGTCTCTACAATAAATCAAAAAATAAGCCAGGTATGGTAGCACATGCTTGTAGTTCCAGCTACTTTGGAAGGCTGAGGTGGAAGGATCACCTGAACTCAGTAGCTCAAAGCTGTAGTGGCCGTGAGTGTACCATTGCACCCTAGCCTGGGCAACAGAATGAGACTCCAAATCAAAAAAATAATAATAATAAGATCTATGTGTACTGTCAGGAGAAGATGTCCACAGTGAATTGTCAAGTGAATAAAACAGGGTACAAAACATGCTGTATCCCACTTTTAAAAAAACTGTGTAGACAGGCTCAGTGGCTCCGCCTGTAATCCCTCGCTTAGGGAGGCTGAGGTGAGTGGATTGCCTGAGCCCGCGGGTTTGAGACCCGCCTGGGCAACTTGGTGAGACCTCATCTCTAAAATAAATAAAAAATTAGCCAGGCGTGGTAGCGCACGCCTGTAGTTCCAGCTACTTGAAAGGCTGAGGTAGAAGGATCACCGGAGCCCAGCTGGTCGAGGTTGCGGTGGCCCTGAGCATGCTACTGTACTCCAGCCTAGGCGACAGAATGAGACTCCAACTCAAAGAAAAATAAAAATAAAAACCCTACTTTGTTCTATGGCTGATGCTTTTTTTCTTTCCTTCGAGAACGGTCCAAGGAAGGAGAAGCATTCTTGTATTATTACCAGGAAGTGAGGAAGAGGCATCCAGTATTTAATATAAAACAATTTTTGTTCTTCCATGTTAAAATTTGAAATGGGGCCTGGCACGGTGTCTCAACCTATAATCCCAGCACTTTGGGAGGCCAAGGCAAGTAGATTGCCTAAGCCCGCGGGTTCAAGACCAACCTGAGCAATTTGGCAAGACCTCATCGCTACAATAAATCAAAAATTAGCCTGGCGTGGTAGCGCATACCTATGGTTCCAACTACTTGGAAGGCTAAGGGGAAAGGATCGCTGGAGCCCAGCAGGTCAACACTGGAGTGGCCATGAGTGTGCCACTGCACTCCAGTCTGGATGACAGAGTGAGACTCCAACTCAAAACAAAAAATTGAAATGAAAGAAGTAGAATAACTGCTGTTTTGTAGATTAAATTTGAACCATGAGTGTGCCACTGCACTCCAGTCTGGATGACAGAGTGAGACTCCAACTCAAAAAAAAAAATTGAAATGAAAGAAGTAGAATAACTGCTGTTTTGTATATTTAATTTGAAGCTACTGCCAGAAGGAGTGCATTTCTTTCGTCTGTCATTTTCCTCCATGTATTCATTTAAAAACAAATGAGAAGAACAGTAATCTTGGAGAGAAAAAGGTACCTTGAAGAGTGCTTCTTGGACTTGAGGGAGGAAAATGCTATTACAGAATATGAGAAATCCTGCCCGGGACTGAACAAATTAAATCCCTTCATCTGCCTTCAAAGCATTTCTTCTCTTAGACTCCTGTAGTTGATCACAGAGAACAATTTTGTTAGATTGCTGTGACTCTAGAGAGGCAGAATTTGGGGCAACTGGGGATACACATATCTACATTTGTATGACTTCAGAGAGTTTGGATCATACTCCTTCAGAGACATACTATTGTCATTGTAACTGGAAGAAGATCTGCTGTGTTCTTACCATGGGCGAAAAGGAGGAAGCTTTTCTAGGTTTAAATCCCAACTCACATATAAAGTAGTATATCTCAAGGCATGTTTTTTTTGGGGGGGGGGGTTGGAGTCTCACTGTCACTGAGGCTGAAGTACAGTGGCACACTCACGGCCGCTCCAGCATTGACCTGCTGGGCTCTGGCAATCCTGCCTCAGCCTCCCAAGTAACCAGAACTACAAGTGTGTGCTACCACGCCCGACTAATTTTTTTTGATATATTGTAGAGGTGAAGTACCACCAAGTTGCCCAGGCTGGTCTTGATCCCATGGGCTCAGGCAGTCCACTCACCTTGGCCTCCCAAAGTGCTGGGATTACGGGCTGAGCCATCTAGCCCGGCTTCTCATGGCATATATTTTAAGGAATTTTTTTTCCTCAACTTTTTTTTTTTTTTTTTGGAGTCTCACTCTGTTGCCCAGACTGGAATGCAGCAGCATGCTCACGGCTACTGCAGCCTTGACCTGCTGGTCTTAGGTGATCCTTCCACCTTAGTCTTCCAAGTAACTGGAACTACAGATGTGCACCAGCATGCCTGGCTAATTTTTTGTTTTATTGTAGAGACAAGGTCCCACCAAGTTGCTCAGGCTGGTCTCGAACCCCTGGACTCAGGCAGTCCTCTCACTTTGACCTTCCAAAGTGCTGGGATTACAGACTTGAGCCAGCACACCTAGCCAACTTTTTTTTTTTTAATCCAAATGTGTACCACCGCACTTGGATAATTTTTATTTTCCTTTTTTTTTTGAGTTGGAGTCTCACTCGGTCACCCAGACTGGAGTGCAGTGGCCACTCCCGGCCACCGCAGCCTCGCCTGATGGGCTCCGGCTATCCTTCCGCCTCAGCCTTCCGAGTAACCGGAATTACAGGCATGCGCTACCCTGCCCGGCTGATTTTTTGATTTATTGTAGAGATGAGGTCTCACTGCCCAGGCAGGTCTCGAACCCGCAGGCTCAGGCAATCCACTCACTTCAGCCTCCCAAAGGCGC